ATCCTGCAGCGCTGCTGGGCGCGGYGGAGGCCAGGCCGCTCTCCTCCTCCAGTGCGAGCTCGTGTCTGCGCTCCCYGCACAGGACGAGCGGTGCTGCCTGGTGTCGTCGTGCCCTTGAGGAGGCAGGGCTTCAAAACGACAAGGTGGCTGAAGAGGAGGGTGGAAGGGGACGTGCAGGAGCCTAAGTGGTGTTGGCAGATCTGAAGATGGTCACACACAAGGGCATGAGGGCTTTCCCTGTGCCATCTGACAGCAGCCTGTGCTGCCCACTCAATGTCTCGCCTCCCAGTGATGTTCTGGGTGTAAGTCAGGAGCTGGCTGATTTCTGGGGGACTTTCTTTTCAAGGCAGATCCTTCCTGGGCCGCTGAATCAAGATGGATTCATGAGGCCCATTTCAAGCCATCAGTCTTCCTGCATTATGCATCGCCTTTGATGACTAAGCCCACAAGCAGCGGAGAGGAATATAAATGTGTGACTTGCTGACACCTCTCCCAGGAACCACAGCGGTGAATGGGATAGTAAACAACCTCTGGCTTAAAAATGGTTTCAGTTTAAGCACAGCATAAAGAACAGATGCAGCAAGGAAAACACAGTGAGGAAGGGAGCCTTCCCAACACAGCCGTGTTTTCCTTTTGCTCTTTGAAGACATTAAGGTCTTTAGCAGCTGTCCGTATTATTTACTAACAGCGGGACTCCTCCATGTAATCGCTCTGTGAGGTTCATTGAAGTGGAAAGAACCGTCCAAGGTTTGGGTTCAAGAGCAGGCTTTCTCCTTTGAACCAAGCCTGRCTGTTGTCCCTGCTGTGTGTTGCACCCGCTGAGAGTCGAAGCCAGCGTGGAGGAGGGCAGCAGCCTCAGACTGGGCCCAGATCTGTGTGTTCTAGTGTCAGCCCACAGTTCAGTGGCTCTCAGACGAGACCAGGCATCTTCCAGGGATACGTGAGGCGCGAGCATTTTGCAAAGCAGATCTGTGGATGTGGTGTCCCCTCCAGGCCAGGTCACCATCGCCCAGGGCAGGCTGAGCCTGCTGAAATGTTGTCTCCCCTGGAGTGCCTGAGTTTGGGCAGTGTCCGAAGGAGAGTCACTGTGGTGCCTCCAAGCTCTGCTGTGCTGGGTTTCCTGGCAGTGCCAACATCAAGCCCCTCCTGGAGCGGGACATCCAGTATTCCTGCTGTTCCTCCGATTCCCCCAGGACAGCCCTGGGCAAGGAGCCAACACCAGGCAYCTGCCAGCCCACCAACCGGACAGGCCGCACGCAGCTCTGTTGCAGGGCGCTGGGAGAGGGGCCGTTTCCATCCAGCTCCAGCCTGTTTCTGCAAGGCTGGCGTTTTTCCCTGTACCACATTTTTGGAACAGTTCTGTCCCTTGCAACCCCAGGGAACACTTCATTCCAGTACTTGTCCACTTCTTACTGGTGTTGATTTGATGKCAGAGGGAAGTGATTCTGTGCTGGTTCCTTTCCAAATGGGTTGATGCTGAAGCTGCTGCTGTGAGCAGCCTGCTGCCCCACCRCAGTGGCATGCAGTGATCCTCAGAGGTGTACTGGTGGCAGACAAAAAGGGGTTTTTCCCATTTAGTCTTACTGTCTAGAGTGATAACTTTCCTGCTTTTTAGRCCCTTTCTCTGTTGGGTAAGCATTTTGTATGTTTGCATTTCCTTCAGATTTCACTTACACTGGGGTTGTCACAAATGTCTGTTGTAGCTAYTTCCCTCCCCTTGATCTGTTAGCAAGTTTTACAGTCTTTAATCTTGTAAATCCAGTTTCTCAACGTTCTTATTCTCTGCAGTAAAAGAAGCATCAGTCAAATAATGTCTCATTTCCCTCGGCACTTGCTGGTAACATGAGGCTTCACACAGTAAATATTTGTGATACCGTGCCCGGGACTGGAGGAGCCCAGCACTGCGTGCCCGCAGAGCCTGGGGGCAGCAGGAGCTTCTGCAGCCTTCCCATTCCCCAGAAACCTTTCCCCGATGGCCTCACAGAGTTGTACTGTATGAAACTTTAATATTACGATGACAGATTGTATTTATTATTCTCACAGTGTTATTGTTCTCTGCCGAAGCCACTAATGGTGAAATAACAGGTGCTAATATCCCACAGTGGGTTGTACAATTGCATCCCAGATAGGACAGCTGCTCTCTTCATCTGCATCTCTTGTTTTTTGCAGACCTGGTTAAAAACTCAGGGCTAGCCCAGACTTCTGCTTGTTATTTCCTGAATCAGACAGATTGGAAAGTAAATAAAAGGTTCCTTTTTTTTTTCTGGTAAGATGTACTTATAGTTAGGACAAGATGAGGAGTGATTGATGGCTTTTTTACTTGTAAATATTGTAGTTCTCCTGTTTAAATCTTTCCTGCAAGCCTGCTGCTTTTCCAGAAAGATAAATAAGCACGTTTAATTCCTGATACTGCTTTGTGAATAGAAACATCTTCAAAAGACAATGCATGTAACATTTGATATATATTCTTGCTTATATCTTAGACAGCAAGAATTCATCACCGTTGGGAACTGGTCACTAAAACTTCTGATCACTGCTTTTCCCAGTTCAGCTGCATTACGCTGGCAAATTAGCTGTCATCTCACCCAGCCCTGCTCTAAGCAATTTCTGTGGTGCAGTGATGAAAATTCCTTTGTAATGAGGACTGTTCCTTACTAACCTTGTACTGGGACATGTGGAGGAGGGCTAATGGGCTAATGGGTGAAAGTTATTTTGGCAATTGATAACAGCTGAAATGCAAAGACATATTCAAGGTTAGACGATATCTTCCCTGGTCCCATCTGTTTTAAACAACTGGAAAAAAAATCTGTGTTCTTCACACTTTTTAAACAGTTTGAATTTTATAAGATGAATCCTGATGAATATCTCTGAATACTTGCTTCAGCTTCAAAATGCTCTGGTCTGGGGAAAACAGTGAAAGATGATGTTTTCAGTCACTGCCATCCAGTCACTGCTGTCATAATCTTTTCTGAGTTTTCCCATTTAAGTCTGCTCACTGAGGGGTTAAGGACACCAGGCACGAAATCCTATTCATATTCTGTTGTGAACTGGGACTTTTCTTCATGCCTTTGTCAGCCTTCCAAGAAGGAGCTGGTGGCACAAGCTTCAAATAGCTGCGTGGTAGTTTCTTTTGACAGATTTTCTTACCCTCAATACTTCCCAGGAGCAAAATGTCAGTGTAATTTGGTCCTAGCCATGAGTAACCAGTTGGCAACCTGTGAGGTTCCTCTTACTGAACCTTAGGAGCTCTGTGTGTCAAAAACCACTTGGCCTGAAATGCATTAAGATGTCAGGGACAGTTATCCTACTGCATTTCCCGTTCATTAATCACAGCTCTGGCTTTCTGAAACCCCTACGTTAGCAGTTGCAAACAAGATTGATGGGGAATAAACCAGCTTTCTGAGGAATACATACTCACAAAATACCAGTACATGTATTTCTTTTTACCTAAATCACAACACTTTGAAGAAAAATAAATCATGCTTGGAGCATCTGTGCATCTACATTCATTCCCAAAGCAGGAAGAGAATGCTAAATTGCTTTCAAAAAGCAGGAAGAAAAAGTGCAAAAGTCACTGAAGACGTTTTTGAGTCACCTTRTGACTCCCTTGTTCTGACGTCTATGAGAGATGGCAATTTAGTCTTTTTCATCCAAGCTGTCTGCTCCCACAACAGGTTTCCATCTAACAGCTTGACCCTGACCTTGGACATTAATGAGCTAATTAGCTCCCCACTCCCATGCACAGAGATCAGCACTTTMAGAACCCAACCAGTCCCTTGTGGGAGGGGTGTGATTTGGCTTTTCTAACTCACAGCATCATCCTATATATTGGGAGAAAGGGAGGGAGAGAGGGAAGCCTGCTGGGGGATTCAGAAGGGGCCTGAGGAGGGTGTAGAGCAGCAGTGTATCCCRGAGGGAAGGCAAAGCTGTGTTGTGTAGGTTCATCTTGTTTGGTTTCCCTCATACATTATGGTTGTTCGTGGCACTAGTGAAACTAATAAGCTACATCTCTTGTGCCTGTGCTCTGAAAGAAAATGCAAGACTCCTGTTTGTCTCCGCACAACAGCCAAGCAGGAGAGAACGCCACTGTTAAAGCTTCTCCTGCCCTTGGCAGGAGGGCAGAGCAAAGAGTATCTCAGATCTGGAGTGCTGAAAAGATAGGATTAGAGCAGGGAGGCCRAAGTATGATCTTGCTTGCAATGGCTCTCTAATATTAATTTGCCTCTGATTCAACTGAAGTGTTTCAGCAGTTGCTCTGATGTACCTACGAGTTACTGATGACAGCAAATCCCCACTGCTACCCCAATGCACTTGTGTATTTGTGAACTTGTGTTCATCACACAGGGTGGGCAAGAGGTAGGGGAGAACAGTCGAGAAATGAAAGAAATGAATTTCACCAGTAATCTGAGGTGTAAAAAATGGCTTTTTTTCTCCTAAAGTAAGTAAACCCTATATCCTGGCTTTTCTAACAGCTGGACTCCTTTGGCAAGCTAACTGATCACGTACTTCTTAAGCTACCGCAAGTTCATTATTCAGGATTTGTGGGTTTTTTCTTTTTTTCTTTTCTGCAAACTATAGCTTGAAAAGGAGTTACCTCTCTATTAGTAACTGACTGCATAAAAGCAAGAGATGGCTGAATAATTCTTTCTAATAAATGCTTGTTGAGAATTTTGTTATTTTCATCCAAGTGTTATCTGAGATATATTTTTTCCATTATTTTGCTAGCTTTCTTGCAAAGGAGCTATTATTGATACAACTGTTCGTCTCTCTGGATGGAAGCAGCAGGATGCTGCCAGCTCAGAGACCTCCTGCTGCCTATGAGAAGGGCAAACTCACCCCRTGGTTTGGGAAATGGACTTTATTCTACTTGAGGATCTTTTCAGCAGAGGGAAGAGTTTTTCCTAAGCCAGATGCCATATTCATAGATAGGCAGGTTTGTCTATTATTCACCCCAGAAATGTGCTCCTCTGATGAGCTTTTCCTGTTGTCTCCTGTATTAGGGATTCATGGATATTGACCTGACGAAATTCCGGGAGAGCGGAGCCAATGTCACTGGCTTCCAGTTGGTCAATTACACAGACACTGTCCCAGCAAGGATCATGCAGCAGTGGAAGAATAACGATGCCAGGGAACATCCTCGTGTGGACTGGAAGAGGCCAAAGGCAAGTGGTATAGAAAACCATTTAATCTAGGCAGGGCCTTGCCTCGTGATAACACTGACCTATTGAATCCAGCATTTCTTGATCCTAAAACACTGTCACTTAATGTACTTATGAATTTCATCTGTTCCATGTGTCTCAACACTTTCTGAATGTTAGAAGTATATACTTACTGCTGAGAATGGCATAAGTTAGTGTATTCACTGTTTCCCAGTTTTTACCCTTCTTAAAACTAAAGATTAAATATCCCCTCCTGTTTAGGATTAAAAAAAGAAAAAYTCATGAACTCCTTGACTGTTCACTTGTTCACTAGATCTCCAGTGGTAACAAACTCTCTTCAGATTTTCTAACCTAGCATTTCAAGTGCAGTCAATAGGTATATTTTAATTCCTAACATGGAAGACTTAAGCTGTCAAGAAAGGAGGAGTGGGTTGTTTTTTTTCTACTTGACATTTGAAAACAAATACACACACTTGTGGCAAACACCTAGAAATAGCAATGGCAACCTTGRAAGAATGAGTTTGAGAAGGCTGCAAACAAATAGACTGGAAGATAATTATAGAGAAAGAAATTAACTCTAATGKCTGTCATTCACCCTAGAATTTTATACTGTTTCCTAAACAAGTTTCTGCTTGAATAAACTCATCTTCTGCATATTTTTTTGTATRTTAAAGCGGAGTTTTCTTGTGTCTATGTATGACCAGAAAGGGTGASTTATTTATTGTTTTTGAGTATCATAGAGTTCAACATTGACCTAGTATAATGTTATTTCTTACTTTCTTTTCATGAATCTAACTAAATAGAAAGACTCAGCAGGTGATGCCCTCTAAGGTTAAGTCCTCTTCAGGGAGCAACTCTGACAGCAATTGAGCTAAAACAAAAGGCAAGTGCAGCAGCCCTTAGCCCTGCATCAGGAGCTGATCTTCCACTCTCCAGTCCTCTGGGGACAGGGTATCAACTTTTCAGAAGTCAGCAAGACAGTAGTGATTAGAGGAAGAATAAAAACAGAACAAAAGCGGAGAAGCGCTGTATCGGGCACGAGGGCAGCTAACCCTAATGAAYGACGTGCAACTCCCCTTCTTTTTCTAGTATACATCTGCTCTCACGTACGATGGGGTTCGGGTGATGGCGGAGGCCTTTCAGAACCTGCGGAGGCAGCGGATCGACATCTCCCGCCGCGGAAACGCCGGGGATTGTCTGGCCAACCCAGCTGTCCCCTGGGGCCAAGGCATCGACATTCAGAGGGCACTGCAGCAGGTGAGGCACGGAGATGATGCCCWTCGTGGGCACATTCCTGTGATCACACGTGGGAAGCTGCGGCAGAGTTGGGGAAGGGCAGAAAGGCCAAAAGACTCAAGCAGACCGAGGAATGAGTATTTCCAAGTTAGAATCTCTTAAAGGGTTTGGGAATGTCCTCCTTTCTTTAATTTCTAGTAGAGCTCTGGCACTGAAAACCCACAGTYGCCTCCCATGAAATCCTATGTCGCCTCCCATGAAATCCTATGTCGCCTCCCATGAAATCCTATGTCGCCTCCCATGAAATCCTATGTCGCCTCCCATGAAATCCTATGTCTCTTTTTACCTTCCGCACTACCACAAACCAGTTTTCTGGGAGCTCCTTCAATTCTTTGTGAACTTGGCAACAGTTCCAGATCATTTGGTTTTGCCTTATATGCTGTCTGTTGTCAGAATGTTTTCCAAGACCAAATTACAGCTTGTTTCTTACTGGTGGGAGTTTTAATAACAGCCATTTAGAAAATGTATTCCTCAATRATTTGAAAATGCTCCTTTTGTATGCTGCATAAAATTTAGATTTTGAATAAGCAAAATATAAACGAAACTTATAGTTAGATTGAAAACATTGAACTTAGTGAAGATGAAGCAGGGCAGTACACTTCAAAATTTCTTTAAATTTCAAGACTGACATCCATTGCTAGTGGTGTCCTTTTTTCAGACATATAATCTACTTTTTCTCTCACAGTTTGTGCTAAATTTATTTTAAAAATAGATGATTCTTTTRAAATACTGCTAGTTCAGTGTTACCAAATATAGCTTATCCCTTCTTTTTTCCTTAAGAATGAAGGCAAGAGGAACGCATTTAATTTGGTTATTTTGTGTCATATATAAATTTTGCCAAGTATTTTGTTTTGATTTGTTTTGAGTTTGCTGGTAAATAAGGATTCTTTAAAAATCAAATCCTACATTTGATTTGATTTCTTGGATTTGATTTATTCCCAAGCCTGCCATTGACTGTGTGTGTGACCTTGGGCAAATCGCTGTTATAGCTTTTCCAAATTCTTATAATAAAATCAGCCTCCTTGATGCATTAGGGAGATCAGTTACCTAATAAACATGAAATACTTGGAAGTCATTTGATGAACAATGGGCACTCAAGCATTTTCCTTTATTGAATTTRTGAGAAGAGGAGATTAAAATTAAATCTGCTCAGAAAATACAATTTTGTGTGTGTGAAAATATGAAGTTTTCCCTTCCCTTCCCTTTAAAGTGATTTCAGAACTCTTAATTTTTAACAGCAGTGCATTTGAATAATGAACACACAGAACTGTTTGCAAAATTTGTTTCTTTACTGTTGAAAAAATACCATTGAAAAATTGGCATTCTCCAAATATTTGACCAGTTTAGTCATGATGATCAGAATAAAAAGCTCCTAGACCTGTAGAAAAAGGAACTCCTTGGGAAATCTTTAACCATGAATTTTAAAATCATCTGGCACTTAGTATTGTAGCAATAACTACATTATAGAAAGAGATAGATGGAAATAGAAAGAACTTATGGTTAGATTGAAGGTTTGAATTATCCATTCTATAAATATTCACAATTGCAGCAATTCTAACATATTCACCGAGTGCYTTTTCTTTACCTCCCATTTACTAATGCCTAAAATTTTATGATCTGCTTAAAAGTAAGAAGTTTCTCTACTCAAATGTCTTGAATAAGCTCCTGAATTGCCTCATTTCTGTTTAGTGTAGGAAGGAGTCATGGTTGGCAGGAGCAAAAATGAAAAGCAATTTCAAATAGTCTGCAATTTTTCAGAAACAGAAATCTAGCACATTTAAGAAAAATAGATGCTTTTATTAAAGAAAGGTAAGACTATTTTTTTTTTCAAAAGATGCTCACAAACTATTACTTTAAATCAATCCCTTGAGGTTTCTATTCTACTTTGAAAATATTGTACTCTACAAAAAGAGACAAATACATGTGCATCAGTGAGGAACTGCTGCTTGAAAGGAGAGTTTTGGTCAAGCAAGCAAACGGAAAAGGAATTATGGAAGGGGTCTCAGAAGAAGGGCAGATGAGTCCAGCATTGTTAGGAGAAACTTCTTTTGCTGTTTAAGTGTCATGGGAATGTGTCAGGTTTCAGATTTCTTCCAAATGTATAAAAAGAATAGGTGGTTATAGTGTGTGAAGCCAAAAAGCAGGAGCACCCTGTGGTCTGAGTTTGAGTTGCTCAGGAGCTGAAAAGAAAGCCACAGGGACCATCAAAGGAGGAGTGTGGGAATGCTTAGGAAAACAGGGCTATTGCAATGTTGCTTCCCATAAGAAGGGACATGCATTTTTCTGCAAATGTCATCAWGTTTACCTTTTGATTTGAAGGAGCTTCAGAAAATACAGGCAGGTGTTAGTTTTCATGACAAACCTTTGTGGTAATAGTTGGAAAAAAATTACAGCTTGAGYGATTTGGCAGCAGATTTCCTTAGCAATTGTCTATTCTCGTTTCTTCACCATGCGCTTTTATTCTGAGGATCTCAGAGCACTTTTAAGTATCTGTTAAGTATGCAGTTTAGTATCTGTTCCTGTTTTACACATGGGAACATACAAGTTGCAGAGAGAACAGATCTGCTTAAGGTTGGTGGCAGGACTGAGAACAATCTTTCAATTCACAATCCACTGGCCTCAGTATTCCTCCACATGGTCTCTACAGAGACCAAAACTTTCTCTTATATTCCTGCTTGTCCTGCTCAGGCCTCACAATTCCAGCTGAGACTCTTCTCCACACCAGACTGGTGTGGCTACAACAGCTCAAATGGCCAGACCACAAGGAAAAGTTAAGGATGTGATGCCTGAGCTCAGCGGTGTTATCAGCAGCAATATGACTCAAAGTTGCCTATGCGAATCTCATTTACAATACTAAATTGTCAGGTTTTATTAGGCTGGTGCAGCAGATAATTAAATTTGTTTTAAACTGATAGACTCCTCTCCAGTGAAGAGTGGCAGCTGGGAGCTATGGSCACAGTTTCATATTTCTTGTAAATACAATTCTAGATTTGGGCTGACAAGCTCTTTACCAAAGTCTGATTTCTGGTCAGATTTAGACAGTATGACCAGACACAAAACCCAAGTTTGTTCAGAGCTGATTTAGCACAGTGTCAGATCCCAAGAAATGAAGGCCTCACACACATGATGTAGTTCTTATGCCTCCCTGAGCTCAGTAACAGACTTTTAAGAGAWGAAGCTTTACCTCTCATGTGCATGAGGAGCCCCTGTGTCCTACCAGGGGACAGGAATGCTATAAAGACTGAAACCAAGTGAAATCCTGGTGCTGTAGAGACATCCCATCTCTGCTGCATGGACCTGAGGGTTGCAACTGCATTCTGCATCCTTCTGCCCCTTGCCATTTGCTGCTGCAGAACAACCACAATGTGCAAACAGTTCTTTTTTTTTTTTTTTTTTTTTTTTTAAGGTCCATTTTGAAGGATTATCTGGAAACGTTCAGTTTAATGAGAAGGGCCGGAGGACCAACTACACCCTGCAAGTGATTGAAATGAAACATGATGGAATCAGAAAGGTAAGATAGATAGTGACTTCAGACACTGTGCTATGGCATGCTTTGGCACGGTTAGGCCTCAGAGGCTGTTGCCATTCATGAAAGTTTACAAGGAAAGTCACTGAAAACATATTCCCAGATCTCTGCATAAGGAAGCATGGAAGCACCACTGGGAACTAATGGTGTCTTACTATAATAACATGGAAAGGATTGTCTGGAGCACCAGTGGCATCTCTATACAGCTGAAGAGACAGTGGAGCAGAGGTTTCCAGGATAGTGACAGCTTGGCCCGCTCAGTTCATACTTCTGCTTCTTACTGGTAGAGCATATTGACTCAGGACCAGCTATAAAACTTTATTTTTGCTCCCCCCCTTTTCCTTTTCAAGCAATGAAGAGAAGCAGAGCCAGGTACAATCTGTCTGCCCTAACTCRTATAGATGAATCCTTTATGTTAGCCTAATTCTGCTCTCCTTGAAGTGATGAGCCTTCCCACTAACCATGCCCTGATTGCTATGCAGTTGTTTGTGAAATTATGGAATCTTGCCCTCTCTTTACATTCTAAATAAATCTGGCCTTTTTTAGAAGTTTTTAGCTACTGGAACACAAGTTGTTTCAAGTCTGACTCCATGAAGTTAAGTTAATGTTGCACATTATCTTTCTGAAAAACAAAGAGTAGCTCAGTTATTTTATAACTAGAAGATATCTAAATAACTTTGAATGTTTTTGCTGCAAGTCTTCTGCATCCCCTTACTCCCAGAAGAATAAAATATACATTTGAAACTTAAGAAAAACTTGAAATAACAATAGTTCCACCCTTACAGGCTGAACTCCCTTTGCCCCAAAGCACACTTGCCCCTGAAAGCAGCAGATGAGAGATCAGAGCCTACCATAGAGCTAAGCATGAATCAGCAATGTCATAAAAACAACAACAAAAAAATTATTCACTGAGAAAGAAAAAGAGCATGTCTTCCAAGACTTGTAAAGCAATATTTCTGCAGTTCCTGGTATTCATATGAAGTATTATGTGAGCATGGGGCTTTGAACTTCAAGAAAGATGTTGGCAATGTGGGCAGATTTGAGAGGAGAAGAAACAGAATGGCTAAATGTCTAGATTTTGCTGTGTATTTACTGACAGAAGTGATATTTATTTAGGAGATGCATCCATAACTGCCAAGATACATACTGTGTGGTAGATCCTCCAAGTTAGTAGTGCTAAGCAAATATACATGTCTTCATTTATACTGCCTGGGGACAGAGCTGCAGAAGCTCTTTCCTCACTGCCTTTTCTTTTTCTCTGCGCAATGAAGAGAGTTGAGCAGCCTGTGCAGAGCTTTCCTCTTCTTGAATTGTTATGATCTCTAATCTGCCATCAGCAGGCTCCTGGTCGTGCCCTGTGTTAATACCTCTTCCCATTTACTGTGATAAGAAATCCCTTCCACATGAGCAGAGCTCAGGCAATTTCATCCTTACATGAGGTGATGGAAAACCTCTTATAAAATCAAGCCCTCAGAGTGGATAACCTCAGTGATGATCTTCCTATTGATCTTTGCTGGCACCCTGCTTTGCCTGCATGTAGTGATAGTTCAGACTGAATCCCTGATTATTAATAAGCACAGCTTAACATGGAAATTCTGCCTACTACAGCTGTTTAGCTATGAATAGAACTCCCAATTTTTAAATATTTTCCAGAGTTTGCTTTTTTTTTATTGAAATTTTGTCTTTTTTTTTTTTTTTCTTTTCCCCCAAGACATCCTGAAAGTCAGCCTTGCATAGCAGGCTTTCAGCTGCAGGACGGCAACTGATCCACCTACAAGATCTGGATGTACAGCAGCCATGTTCAGTGATAGAAAAATATGAAGGATTCATCGCAGAGGGAATGTGGGGAGGGCACAGGGAATTGCAATGATTCCCTGGTGCTGTCTCCTAATTGTTTTTACGTGCTTGGATCCACTCTGCTCCCCTGCCCATGGTGTGCRTTATTCTCAGAGTGCAGGCATGGCAGTAAGGGGTTGTTCTTGGTCCCACTGCCAAAAGAGATCAAAACTTCAGAAAAATGAGGTCTCTGTTTGGGTATAAACRTGCAGAGAGAGCTGACTTTTCTAGGTCAATTCCGTTACGGTAATTTGGTTAATATTCGAAAGAGGTATCAGCAAGATGTCCTGCTTCTGTATTTGGCAGGTTGGTTACTGGAACGAAGATGAGAAGTTAGTTCCAGTGGCCACGGATACTCAAAGTGGCAATGAGTCCACGAGTCTTCAGAACAGGACTTACATAGTCACAACGATCCTAGTAAGTTCTTGACTTCAAATCCCTTGATTTGAAGTCCCCCTCCTCATCTGCTGGTGTATGAATTCCCTCTTTGCTCTTGCATGCCTTCCTTTGCAGTGTGATTTATATAGTAATAACAGCAACAGAAAAAAWCGCACTTACTGCTTCCTGTTGGATCCATAAAGATATCTGAAAATTGCTGTAGCTAACTGAATAAATATTTAAGAGATCTCACATGTAAGTGCAGGAAATACAAAAGATTATGGTAAGACATTAGAGGCAGTAGCATAGGTATACTTGAAAAATTATACGTGTGTTTTGTATTTATCCCACAGCATGGGGGCTATACTTTTGGGAAGGATAGGCTATATTGTGCAGAGACCCTGCATCATAACTTTAAAAACAAATCATGAAGGAACAATATTTATCTCATAAAATATGGTATCATGTATTGTGTCATTGCATTCCCTTACCCTGCCAAACCTGATGAATTTTCAGTAAGTTATTTGTTGAATGCTTACTGTGAGTCTACAAAGAAGATGACACAATGCCCAAACCCAGTTAAACATCTCTAGGGCTCTTTCCCGCCCAGCAGATTGGATTCTGTCAGTGCCCACATAGACATGCCTCTAAAAATTCATCAGTTGGATGCACTAAATGCCCTTTCTGGAACAGCACTGAGAGGGTGTTGCCCAAATACCACCACCAACTCCATACCCATCAGGTCTATCACAACAAGAGCTACCTCCAGTTCTGTCTTACTAAATGCAGAAGGCCAGAATAATAATCACCATAAGTACTTCGTAACTCCCCTGCATATTGACCATGCCTTTTGGTAAAGGACCACAGTGCTGGTATTTGCAAGAGGACCAGAAGCTGCACGCTATGCTCCAGTCTGAGATCCTGAGGTGCATCTCTAGAAAAATGAAGTGTGACTCAGTATCTGTTTTCTTTGTGCCAGGAAGACCCATACGTGATGCTCAAGAAGAATGCCAACCAGTTTGAAGGCAATGAGAGATATGAAGGCTACTGTGTGGAGCTCGCTGCAGAGATCGCCAAGCATGTTGGCTACCACTACAGGCTGGAGATTGTCAGAGATGGGAAGTATGGAGCCCGGGATCCAGACACTAAAACATGGAACGGCATGGTGGGAGAACTGGTTTATGGGGTARGTTTGTAACCTCATCCATTGTTTTTAACTCTTGTCTGGAAAACAAATACAAGCTCCCCAATAAAAGGAACCTGTAAATATCCCAGCCTTCTGTCAGTGCAACCTTCCTGCCACCKCCGCTCTCTTGTTAATCTGTATTGAGGGCATCCTCAAATCTTAATGCAGTCGGATGACTTCTCATAGAATCATTAAGGTTGGAGGAGACCTTTAGAGATCATCTAGTCCAACACCCCTGCATACGCAGAGTCACCTACAGCACGTGGCACAAGATTGTGTCCAAGCAGGTTTTGAAGATCTCCAGACAAGGAGACTCCACAACCTCTCTTGGCAACCTATTCCAGTGCTCTGTCACCCTCACTCTTAAAAATTTTTTCCTTAAGCTGCTATGGAACTTTTGGTGCTTCAGCGCTTCTACAGAGAAGAGCTCAAAGAAGTCCTTCAAAATAAATAACAAGAGAGTCTACCTCCACACAACCACCAGATACTTCATTGAGCCAGCTCCTCACCCACAACTCTTCTTAAAATGGTTACACCAAATAAGGTTTATCATTCTGGATAGATGCCCACTTTAACTACCAAAATGCTTCTCTTTGGAAATCTTCTTTTGTTTTTACATTCTCTTGGGCAGAATCGAATGAAAACTTTTACTTGATCAGCTGAATTATTTTCTCACTTGATCAGAAAAAAATAATTCTCAAGCAAGGAAACAGTTTTGAGCTGTACTAAATGTTCTATGCTACCTAGTTGTCTTTTTTTTTTTTTTTTTTAAATGTTTCCTGCCCCAGGGCTTGAGCTATCTTGAGGGCTGAAACTCTGCTTATGCAAATAAGAAGTCCTGTGAAACATTTTAATTTTTCTATGCCCATAGAAATGTCAAAATATTTCCTCTCAGTGTTCCAAAAAGATGTTTTTTTTCTTTCCTTTTTTTGGAAGAAGAAGTATGGAAAGGTCAAACTTTCCCATGGGTAGAATTTCCCAATTTTACTCTATTTTATATTTGCATGATAATGGCAGGATAAAACAAAGACACAATTTCACACACTCAGCGTATGTTTGGTTTTAATACTGGTACTAGATCATTTTCCATCTGGCCACTTAACTTCCACCTGTACCCAGTCTCTGCAGTACCAGAGGAGGACAGAAGTTCAATATACAAAGTTACTGGGCCAAATACACCTACAGGTAGAAGGTATAGCTATAAGGAGTGAAATTTGCTTTACTTTCCCATGGAAAAAGTCAAGTGTCTAAATTATTTATTTAGGCTCCCTAAATGGGAGCTCCATTACACCCAGCACCCAGTCCTTAAAAAATAGGTTGACTCCCCATCCATGGTGGTTTAAATTTCCCACCTGGCAGTGTAGGGAACATCCATGTCCAGGTCCGTGTGTCTCACCACGGGCATCCTGCCAGGAGGCTGCRGGATGTATCCTCAGCCATTGCATTACATTTCCCTTTCCATCCTCAAGATTGATTGTGAAATAAATGGAAAGTACGTATCAGTGTCACTGGAAGTTTCATCCTCTTCTCTTACATAAGATAGGCAATCAGAAAGTAGTTCCTGGTGGAGGTAAACATTCTAGCGTGCCTTTTCCAGGCAACTGGCTTTCCCTTGCCTCTTTTGATGTCTGGGTGATGAGATTCTTTTAGTGATAGTCATCTGTATCAGATTGCAACATCAGTGGATAAATCAGGCAAGAAGAGCTAGGTGGCTGGAAAGCAAAAATGCTGTGATTTCAAAACAGGCCTGGTAATCAGCAGTGATAAAATGGAAATAATTCACAAATATTATAGACTACTTCTTCTTAACATTACTCCTGTTACCGTTTTATCTGGTAACCTCTGCAATGCGAGGAGAAGTAAATAGARGTCCAAGAAAAAGGAACTGGAGCTGAGAGGTGTATTTTGTCCCTAAAATGCAAATTTCTTGTCTCTTCTTTTCAGAGGGCTGATGTTGCAGTGGCACCATTAACCATCACTCTGGTTCGAGAAGAGGTTATAGACTTTTCCAAACCGTTTATGAGCCTAGGTATCTCTATCATGATAAAAAAACCTCAGAAGTCCAAACCAGGAGTTTTTTCCTTTCTGGATCCTTTGGCTTATGAGATCTGGATGTGCATTGTTTTCGCCTACATTGGAGTAAGCGTTGTCCTCTTCCTGGTCAGTCGCTTCAGCCCCTATGAGTGGCACACTGAGGAGTTCGAGGAAGGACGGGACCAGCCAGCCAATGACCAGACAAATGAATTTGGGATATTCAACAGTCTCTGGTTTTCCCTAGGAGCTTTCATGCAGCAAGGATGTGATATTTCTCCAAGGTGGGTTACCTTCCCCTGCAAACCTTCTAATGCAGGTGGTTTGTTTTTGTTGCATGCCTTGGAGCTGAACAGATTTGATATGCATTTCTTCTCGATGCCTTACTCATACAAAAGCAAAAACTCTGTCTCTAACAGGTTCTGCAATGTGCTGGTTGCAAAGTTGCACCTCTTACAAGTAATATTCAGCATTCCCTGAGGAGAGTGGCTATGGCCTTGGATGTRGATTGTAACTGCCCATGGTCTCCAAGAGGTCTCCTGCGGGCATTAGCAGAAGGCAGGACCCGTGGGCGGTTCAGGGCACAGAGGCCCTTTGCTTTCTTTTTTCCCCATCCAGCTTTGGTTCAGTTTGCCTCCTGTTGGAAGGAAATTTCAGCAGGGATCCATTTGTTCATCCATGGGTGAACACCACAGATGGAAGTTCTTTTCATACATGCCAGGATGGTGTTGAAGAAGGATGCACAGCTCAGTGCAAACCATGGCCACACTGTGTGGACCACAAGGCATCCACAGCAGTGAAGCCCTGCCATCCTGGCTGTTGCACAGCTGTCCGTCCAGTATTCCTGGGCACTGGATAGTAGGGAAATAAAGAATCTGAAGAGCTCTTTGAAAGTGGCAGCTTTTATGAATATGCTTTATCATCAGATCCTTGATTAGTTGGAGGCTAGCAGAGGCACTCAGTCCTCCTAGCACAGGGAATTCAGCCTTATCGCTGTCTTTTAACATGGCTCCGTGTGTTAGGATCAGGTTATTGCTGGTTTTATTCTTGTTGTTGTTGTTGTCATCGCTATTCTTAATCAGGAAAGAGAATGTCTTCCTTTGGGGACATTTCGATAGACAGCTTCTGTTCCAGGGAGGAGCAKGAAGAGGTGAAAAGTGGAGACCTTGCAGAATAGCAGATTTTGAAACATCTTCAGCAAAAAGCTTTGGGGAGGAGTTAGTGATTTTGATCCAAATAAAAGGATTTACTATAGCTGAACAGCACACTTTGAATCACCATTTCAAAGTGTGAATTTTGCTTTGAAATGGAAAATCAAACAATTGTGTCATTCTTATTTTGATGCTGTTAATTCCATCTTCCTGATAATGAAAAATAACAGTTCTGTTGAAATCAATGTATTCCTGTGGAGCAGAAGAGCATTTTTTTAATCACAAATATTTGAAAGCAAGAGAAAAATTGAAAACTGGACTAAAAACTCCCAGCACTCTGAATACAATTTCTTGTGATAGTTGCAAGAGGATGGGAACATTTTGGTGACATGTGAACACAAGGGGAAGCAGAAGAGTGAGAACTCCCGTAGGATGTTGTTGTACAGAAAGGCTCCGAGTTCTCTCTGTATTTCACATGTATTTTTCACACAAACCGAGTGCAGGATTTTTGTGACACATCCCTCAGAAATGAATGCTTGGTGAAACTACACTGTGGGCAGGTGGAGGAGATCTGCTCTATTCCTGTATATGTTCTATATGATTGCTTCTAAACTTACCACTATAATCTCTTGGCATCTCCCCAGTAATGTATTAATCACCCTAAATAACTTCTGTTATACATCTGTTCTGTCATTCTCTCCTCAGCAGAAAGGAGCAAGTGCAGGGGTGTATTTTGTTTTTGTAGAGGTTTTGGTTTGTTTATTTCAGTTTTGTTTTGGGAAGGAGTAGAGGAAATTTGTCTGGAGGTTTTTTTTCTTGAGCACATTTGTTTTAAGTGCGTATGCCACTATAGATTTCCCTAAAAGACATGTAAGATCAAAATTGCAGATGCATCATTCTGTGCAGCAGGTGATGAGATTTGCAGCAGCTCCTTGCTCCTATAAAAGTGCCTTCCTCCCTCTTAGACCAGCCCCCAGGGAAGTTTGGTCCTGCACAGAGGCAAAATGTACTYTTGAAAGAGCTTTGCACTATAAAAAGGACAGCCTTTCTAGCCAGGACATTAATCCACTTAAATACGCTGGCCAAGCTACCAAGAAACCTCAGGTGCTCCAGACTAACTCCCGTGATCAGTTATTCATCATATATGACCAGTGAGGTATAGAGCCACGATGGTCCAACCACTTTGCATCCCAGCTGGATGCAGATGTTGGAGTGGCCRGAGAGGTGATCTGTCTTTATGGGAGCTGAGGTGAAAGCAGTGGTGGCTGCAACACCATTTCCCATCAGAGCTTGATAAATACTTGCTGGCCAAATTAGAAGCATGTAGACCTTGTACCTAGACTTGCCTTTGGTTACGCTGAGCCCTGCCTTTCACTATGGAAACCTATTTCTGTGCCTGTGATCAGCCTTATGAAGTTCACACCTAAAAAGCACAACAAATTTTCCAAGCAGTGCTCCCACTCTTCTCTGCACCGTGCCAGAGGAGAATTACATAGTAATTTCTGAAAATAAGAAGAGTGTCATTGGAAATTACCAGAACACTGCACGTGTCCCAGAAGGTCATAACTGAGACCGGGAGCTGCAGAGCTTTRGGAAATATTACTGAAATGCAGGTATAGTAGCTCAGAGTCAAGGAGATGGGGGAAGGCAGACATCACTACGTRGAATAATTTGTCCTGGGTGAGGTGAGAAGATGATCTGTGTCATTGAAACACAGCAGAGTGCAGGAAAAGCAAAAAGTTTGGGCCTGTGAGTAGTTTCATGTACATAGTTATGGGCAGAAAGCAGTGAAAGCTGAAACAGGTCATAAACCATAAAGGCTGTGCAAAATGGCACCTAAACTTCAGAAAACAGTCATGAAATTGCAAAAGCGCTCATTAAATGTGAAATACAGACCCAGAAAGGAGATTCTCAGAGCAGGCATTGGAGGTAATAAATATCCTGCAGCCAGTAGTGAGAGCCTGCAGCAAAAGGGCTATGAAGTAAATGTGACTCACATGGTACTATTTTTCAAAAATGCAATTTGATAAATTTTGTTTGGAGCTTAAAATAACCCCAGCGTATAAGAGCTGTGGGGAGCTGGGCCTTGCTAGTGTGTACCTGGTTCCTGCTGCTTCCTCGCCTGGGACGGATCCGAGGCCTTTTCGAAGGAAAGCAAAGTGATGGCTCAGCTGCCAGACCTCTCTGCAGCAAAATGAGCCGTTCRAATATTTCACATGCCCAACCAGTTCCTTCAAGATAAATTATTTGACTGTAGTGAGAAGGATAAAAAAGCAGAGAGCAAGTACACATTTTTGCTGACAGCTTCCCAGCTTGGACTTCTATTTTCTGTTATCTCAAAGTGAGTTGCTTCACAGAGTTCAAGTCCAAAGGAAGGCTCCTGTATGTTACAGACTATTAAATTTAATCCAGTTACCCTTCTTCTGAGTCAGAAAACTTATGTTTGACTAAAGTGAAATACATTTGGCTAAAACATATCTTCCAGAAGGGCATTTATTGTTCCTTTGAAGACATTATGGGATAGAATATAGTGAGTTTTTTCAGCCAACTGACTATAGGAGTCTTGTCCCCACTGGAGCTTGACAGGAGGATAATAGCACCTAGTAACCACCCAGTAAAAACAGTCATTGTCTGGGCCATGTCAGGAAAACTAAGTCGACTTTTCCTAAAATAAACAAAACTTCATGGGAGCTCCTTTAGACTGTGCTGTGGAAACCGAACACATGTATATTTTGGACGCAGATCACAACACACAGGGAATAGAAGGGAAATGTTTAGTCACATTATGGTGTGATAGGGTATCGTGTCCCAGTATCCACACAACAAAGTTTGGAATGGCTTGCTATAATCTCTGTTATTGAGAACAGAAATGGAGAGGTCCTGGGCAGCCTGGGCATGAAATAAAATGAAAAATCAAACTTTCAGCACAGCTGGAGAAGGGACCTTGCTAGCGTTTCAGCAGGGATGCAGGAGCAGGGATAGATTCTGTACTCGCTGCATGGTGCCATAAGGGACATGTTGGGGAGCAGCCCAACAAAACCTGCAGGCACTTTCTGTGTCAAGGAGACATGGTGCAAATGGGGTGCAGCTATCAACGGACTGGGGATAAAGAGGTAAACAAGATTATCTTGTTGGCAGAGTCCAACTCCTGGTGCCATTGCCAGGCCGTTGCAGTGGCACATGCTGGACCCTTGACCTGCAGCCAAAAAGGAAGGTGCAACTCAGGAAGTTGCTGGCTTTGATGATGAATGAATGCACTCGGAGATGGGGAGGAGATATAATAGATATAATATAATAACAGATGCAATCTATTCTTTGTATTAATCTTGTGAACATTGCTATTAATCTGTAGTGACAGATATAGCGCACTATGGCTCGTGAACAGCARTGTGCAACAGGGCATGTGTTTCATTGCACTCTCTCCTGCAGGCACTCTGTTGCACTCTGTCATAGCTGTACATGTGCAGAGGAGCAAATACAGTATTTATTATGTACCTGTAATTAATGCTGAACACTTTCTTCTGCTATTTTTCCTGTTTATTTACCTTTCTTCTTAGATCAATTGAAAAAAAAATCACAGGAGAATTCAGCAATGGAGCTGCTGGAAATAACTGTAAAATTGCACTGCAAGTTGTTGAGGGCTTTTTTTCTAAACTGGCCCCTAGAGATTTTGAAAAATAGCAGCATTTTTAAATTTCATCAAAAGTTTCTAGTACTGCAAGATTTTACCTACTTGTAGACAAGACTTAAAACAGAAGCTGGCTGGGACCAGGGTGTTTTTGTTGTTTGCTTGGAGAGGACTTTGATTTTACTTGTTTCAAGGGAGTTATTTTTGCTCTGTCCTTAGTCAAGTAACACTTGCAGGGTACTTATTTTGCTAAAATTTTAAAATTAGGGAAATTAGAAGCAACTGCATTTAGCAGTTAGAAGGATTTTTATTCTGTCCTGATAACGAGGACCAAGTCTGGATGTTTATTTTGGCAGTTTTTGATTTCAGTAGGCATCTTCTCTCACATTTCAAGTATCTGCCTTTCTTTTTGGCCTGATGGGCAATTTTGGTCCTATCCTTGTGATACACTTATAATCTTAAACAAGATGTAGCTTGTCCTAGAGAGACCCTGAGGAGCCCTGCA